CCTTTGTGGTTCGTCAGCTAGAACAGTCGTCACCACTGGGAACAGCGCCTTTCTAGTCTTCACCAGTGATGGTTCAGTGACGAAGTCTGGGTTCGTTGCTAACTTCACGTCTGAGCTACGTAAGTGAAAAGTGCCCCACCATCCTGTTGTTTAAAAAAAGACAAAAGCAAAATCAGCTTCTTATAACCCTACCCTACGTTGTTACCACACTGTTGTTGCGTGATCACACACTGTTTAAATACACTATAGTGTTCCCAATCTGCAAAATTCAAAACCTCACTTGTCGCCCATGGACACTTGATAGGCTTTCAAATTGTTCGTGTGTTGCCTAGACGTATTTCTAACGCTACGTCAATGGGAAAATGTTAACTTGTCATTTGCAAATTGTTTGACTTAGATTACAGACTGATTGCTTGATTGATATCTTGCAGAATGTTCAATGACAATGCTCAAAACAACGGACACCACCTACGAATACCGATGGGACTTGCCCCAGCTTACGGGAACGCGCTTCACTTTTCAAGTATCGACCAACAGCGATGCCCACATCGGTCTGTCACCAGCCAACCAGGACGCTACAGACATGTACGAAATCGTCCTCGGTGGATGGGGGAACACAAAGTCGGCCATACGCCGGGGAAAGCTAGGCTCCGATGTCACAAATGTCGACACACCAGGTCAGCTTTAGAATCTGTTTGTTTTGGAATCTGAAATTGTCCTTCAATTGCTGGTTGTTATAGATAGTTGAGTGTTGTGCATGCTCAAGAACAAGTTCCATGTTTTATCTTTGTGTCAATATCCCTCACTGTATATCTTGAAATGATAATTAAAAGTTATGGTTGACGTCAACCTTCCCTACAGCTATCAACTCGCCAACAGAGTACAGGACCTTTTGGATAAACTTGGCCTCAGACGGAACCATTTCTGTCGGAAAGGGGGGTGAGTCTCTGCCGTTCATGTCGTGGACAGATCCCAACCCGATCCGCGTGTCTTATGCTGGGTACTCTACAGGCTGGGGCAGCGACGGGCGCTGGAAGTTCTGCTCGGAAACAGGTCAGTGGTTTATCATAATCAAACGTACACACTCACACACGGACACAAACACACACACACACACACACACACACACACACACACACACACAC